AAGAAGTTATGAAGTGTTACAACGAAATCGCTTGGTTTATTAAAATTACTCTTATTCCTTTTCTTATTATTTAACCGCCGCAGTCATGGAACAAGATTAGCCGTACATAGTTGTAGCAATTCTCCTACAAACGCGGGTTGACCATACATAGTTGCGACAATATTGGGTGAAACTAGTGTGGCTAGCTCAGAAGTTATTCATAACACCGTGGTCGGCCATGATGGAGCTGTGAATGGTTATCACTGGCCGGAATACAGATGACATCGCTAGAGACCAGAGCTAGAACCTTTAAAAATAAAAAATACAGATGTCATTTGCATTTTTGTGCAACTCTTTTTTTTTTAAAACGTACACATTACTACCCAATAGGTAGCTACCTTAGATTAATAAAACCTAGATAGATAGTCAGTGCACGAAAGGTGAGGCAGCTTTTAGTAAGCCAGAATGGCTTACCCGTAAACGTCACATGAACTGTCAAAGTGAAAAATTGGTAAACACGTCCGACGAATTTTAATTAAATAAGACGGTTTGGGCTGTGAAAGGGTGTCTAAATACATCAGAAAAAGGAAAGAAAGTGACCAGTGTTACATTTCTGTAAGTACTACAATTCGACGCGTATATTGCTTGAATTTGGCTTTCAAAAATTAAATACGGGAATGATACCAGTAACAAGAAAATTTATTTCCCAATTGTTCGCCCTACAAATACACTTCCTTTTTTATGAAATCGAGACTTTTAAGTCGATTTATCTTATTGTAATTAAGTAGGTTCTTTGAATTCAATAAATAAGTAAGTACATGATGCGTTTTGTTTTTGTTAATTATAAAATAATTAAAAACGTATTAAAAATTTCCCTACTTTCGGGAAAATCGCCTTCACTGTCTACACTCCCCAACAAAATTGACACTAATGACATAAGATTTTTGCCTCACTCTTGACGAAGCGTTTGTATGAAGACTATCCATCTAGGTTTTATTAATCTAAGGTAGCTACAATGAATTTTCGATTATTGTAATCGTGGTCTATGATAAGGAGAAGGATAAGAGAAATATCTGCTCATCAAAAACATGAAAAAAATCGTTTCTGAAATGGTGATAGGTAGGTACTTTCCAAAAAAATTTTTTTTTGTATAGATGACCATTGATTAATCATCTCCTTAAGTTTGGCACGCTCTTTTCGGGACACCCTGTATACCATTTCGTAGAAATAGGCAGCAAAACGACAAAAGCAGAGTCAATTAGCTTATACGAGTACGTTTAGACCTTCAAAATCCTACCTATCCTAGACACTTCGAAACTGAGCTGCAAATCAACTGCCGGTCAAACGGACCGCAAAGAAAGTTCGCGCCAAAGAAGGCAAACACGAATGGACAGAAGTTGGCTAGTTAGGGCGCACGTGGCGGCCGCGGGCAACTAATACAACTACCCGCAACTTGTTATTTGTCTAATTCGGTTCGGGATGGGATGGACCTCTATGGTTGCGTAGCTCCAACTCGTATTGTTCTTTGAAGGTTAACAAAAAGTTTTGGGGAAATAAAAAGACTGGAGATTTAATTATTAAATGTACAGTATACAGGACAGATATGTACCATTCTGGACTGCATCTCACTTAACACCAGGTGCTACTGCGATCAAATACCTGCCTTGTTATGCATTGAATAAAAATACTTGAAGTTATAATACTATGACTAGTCCATACATTATCCCAACTAATCCCAATCCCAACTAATATTATAAATGCGAAAGTAACTCTGTCTGTCTGTCTGTCTGTTACGCTTTCCCGCTTAAACCTCGCAACCGATTTTGATGAAATTTGGCATAGAGATAGTTTGAGTCCCGGGAAAGAACATAGGATAGTTTTTATCCCGGTTTTTGAAACAGGGACGCGCGCGATAAAGTTTTTCTGTGACAGACAAAATTCCACGCGGGCGAAGCCGCGGGCGGAAAGCTAGTTGAATATAAATTCTAGTTATGCAAATCTATAAGTCCATCGAATTGTCTCTTCGTTTTAACCTTGATTAAAACTATGTAAGTCTTTGTAAAACCTCGTGGCATAGTAAGGACTATCATGTACTGCTCTACCATTCTTAACGTTTAGTTACATAGTCTCTCCTTCTACTGTTCCTCTACTAACTTCGATGTCATTCCTAAGGTGACTTATTTACAGTTATTTACAATTAATTTACAGTGAACTAAAAACTAATCAGGTGACTGAGTTTCTTCCTCCGCTTCTTTTCAGTACCAACCGATATGTTGTTCCGAAGTGATGATAAGCAAGCGATTCGCGTAGCTCGATGGTGCCGCAGTGTGAACGTGCCACAGTACAGTTGATATCGCACGGAAAATATACGCTAAAAATTCCACTTTCTGTATTTATTTTTTTGGTAGATAATGCGTTGATATAATTTATGTTTCCCAAAAAATAAATAAATAAATAAATAAGTCGTAATAGATCACCTAAATAAATATGGTGAGGATAGCAATCAACACCCTGTATACTAATAAAGAATTTGAATTTGTGTTCATACGAAACTACACGCTACGTATTGTTGCAGACTGGACTCGTTATGAAAATTTCCACATCAATTAACAGCCTTTTTCTAAATGAGCAACAAATCCCCACGTCAATAAAGATTACCGCGTTCCTCCATCGCGTGCAACCGAATAACTCCATTGAAAACCCGGACAAACAAACAAACAAACTGGAAGTGGAGCTAAGAGATCGATGGGCTTAGGGTGAGACCTCATCTCTGGATTTAGTGATTCTTTGGTTGTAACAAAAGAGGTTACAAACGTGGCAAATAGATAAAACGCCATATTCGTTTGATATGGCTAAGGCCCGGTTACTACCAAAGCGGAGAAGAATCAGGCCGTATTTTTTTTATAGAATTTGACAGTGGTGGCGGCGCAGCGCGGAGCGGAGCTGTCCGGAGCGGAGAAGAGAATTGGAATCTTTTTTTTTCTTTTTTTCTTTTTTTTATACTTAACGAGGAAGCTCTTGGCCTGTATCTCACCTGACGGTAAGTGATGATCAGGCCGAAGGTGGAAGCGAGCTTCACCCGGAATCCTCAACTACGGAGGAACTGGCTATCTTACCTCTAACTGCCGGAACACAACAATCCTGTTAACATTGTTGTTATGAAATCTTGTTGAATCAATGAAATCTTATTGGTTATTCAAAACATTTTTCTGCTCCGCTACGCGTTGGTGGGAACCGGGCTTCAACTAGACCAGAACGTACTCTCCAGATATTAATTTTTCGGATAATCAGGTTGATATGCTACAATAGCCTAACGGCGTCGGTGTCGGCTTGCCGATTCGAAGGGAAATACAAATTACTAATAGGTACATACCTACAAATTTATATCATAGCTGCACTTTGATCAAATAACTTACATTACGCATTGATCCCATAGTGAAAGTTGCTTATATTCTTGGATAAAACTAGTAAAACATCATGTAAAGATATTTAGATGGTAAAAAAGTACATCTGCTTGTTCTGGCTATTGGACAACTTGTAAATTATCTACCTACATAAAATTTGTTAATTTCTCATGTAAGTGACTGTAATGTTTTTAATGAGAAATAAATGTTCTTTAAACCTAAAAAATCCACTATAGTTATTGACGGCAGTGCAGTTTAACCCTTACGGCTCGGAGGAATCGAAAAGTTCGTTAATTTAGTCGGACCTCGCAAATTGAGCTGGCTAGGAGACGGATTTACATTGTTTTTAGTTTGATGTTTACCGTAACGATGTGCCGATCAGTTTGTGTTGGGCCATCAGTTAATTGATTTTTCGTTGAAAATTTAATTATAAAAAAAAGAAAATTGATGGGAAAAATTACTTAAAAAACATTGAACCACATTGCTGGAAATGTCATCAGCTTACAATGATCATGGTTTAGTTATTGAATTTCATTACAATAAAGCTCTGTTCAATAAAGCTCGTGATTGATTGAATAGTTTATTATTGAAAAACAGAATTTTAAAACACAAACTTATATTATTTAGCTATTGCATTACTTTGGAAGTTCAATGAAACATATTAATTAATAGCGGGTAAAAAAGAGCACAGAAAAATAAGAACATAATAAATAAAAACTTGGATAGTAATAGTATTCTGAATTCATTATTGAAGTAAGGTATTTTATACCCTGAACAATCATTTAGGTATGTTATCCTATTATCCTGAGTTGTTTTGAACTTAGGTCCGAACTTGTTCCATCATATTATTATCTCTATCATCCTGTATTATGCACATCACTAATAAGTTGTACAATTGAGGCTTAGTCCACAACAGAATCCATTACAGGAGTTTGTCGTACAGCCGTCACGTTAGATTTATAATGGAGAGTAGAGACCCCTACTCTGAAAGACAATTTCGAAAACCATTTTCCACCTATTTCCTTCACTCGAGTGAACATTTCAGGGCGAGCAAACGAGATGGATGTGGTCGAGTATAGCTTATTTATTTTGCAGGGTAGACGCCTAGATATCTTAAAAGCGTGTCACTATGGGACTATTTGTCATATGGTAAGTGATTTCCCTCGTACAAGCTTGGATTTGTTGAATCACCCCATAGCGTTACATGTAAATAAATTCGCGAAAGATGTGTGGAGTCTTTTAGTACGAGTATGGGGTATGAATTTCTAAGAGCGACAAACATTTTTGTTCATGATTGTAGTGAAGGTTACTATTTTGTTTCAAACTAACGCATGGGACGTTAATTTCATCGTGTGATGATCTATGGATACTACATAATGCTCTACTGTGAGTGTAATAAGTTCTACTTATGAATTTGATATCAGATTCTGTCTAGTTTATTGATGTTAATTAATTATAATGACATTATGAGGATAATTAAAACAAATGCCATATTGGAGGCAGAATTTGTCTCCCTATTTTAATACTAGCTTTAAGAATAAACACTGCCGGTCGGTTTTTTATATCAGTAACTAGTCTTATATGGTTTTAATTTGGTTATTTTATAGTTTATTTTATTCACGGAGAAGCGAGTTTTTTAACTTGTATGTCAGAATTAACGTAGTTACTGAACTTCTCTATCTTGTTCCAAGGTACTCTGGGTATTTCCCCGTTTTTTCTAGAAGCTGCTTCTTGTGCTTCGCATTTCTTCTTGTAATGGGGATTCCACCATTTTCTGAAATTGTTATGAACTTTGCCGACGCCTTTGTACAACGCTTCGCACAATTTGCAGACGGTGTCAGTCTTGTTCCTGATGATATAGTGGTTTTGCCAACTGAAGTAGTGAAGGTATTCTGTTTGGTTGATGATGAGCTTTGCCATTTTTTCTGCTGTCTTCTTTGGGCCTAGGTCTCGACCGTTGATGTAGGAGTCAGGGGGAAGGAACCTGAAATATTAAACAGTAGAAACTATTGAAAACAAAAAAATCCATAATTTTTTGGTTACTATGCAACCGTGTTTGCGGGCTACTTTTGATATATTAGACTTCTTTGCTAAGATAAGGCCATATTGGACTGAAGACGGGAAACCCAAGCTTAACGTATCATTCCAAGAGCTTATTTGTTTTAGACCTTTTACGAGCTGGTCAAAATGGGAACAGTTACCTACATGAAGCGACCTTCCAATTGGTGTTTTCCACCTGAGAATTGTGATGACTCTCCGTTACCAAAAGATATAAAATATTACAAACCTGGAATAATTAGCGCCTCCAAACACAACTGGAACTGTATAATGCAATAATGCTTTCATAACCTTCTCTGTCACATAATCTTCAGAGATTGAGTTTTCTAATGCCAAATAAAAATAATATTGTTTTAGTTTTTTAATGCATTCCTTATCTCTTTCAAAGGGACATTGTCTTGTACCACAAGAGCCTATTACATGGATCTCGAATCCGTACCATTGTAAAGCCACCTTTAACTCGTTGAAATAAGTTTCTCTTCTGCTTTGGGTGTAACAATTAGATACCATCCAAACGGCTGGATATTTTTTAACATTAACAATAGCTTTTCCAATTTTCGCTGATATAGGTTTGACTTTTGCTGTCCAATTAACATCAAGACTGGGAGCGATTTCTTCGCCTTTTTTATTAAAAACTGTAAAATACGGCCACACTACATCTGAATCAAGTTTGTACGTCCAAGTAAGATTGAAATAATCATCGAATTCTTCTTCACACACTGCGTAATTTTCAGCGGATTCCCTTCCAACAAACACAAACGTTTGGTTTAAAAACCTTTTTGAAGGCAATTCTTCTTCAACATCAAAATGTGAACTCACTTTCTCACTAAAAAGAATAGCATCGAAATGTTTAAATCCCTGAATAAAGTTTTTGTCTTTAGTGAAGTAGCAATTGTAAACACATTCATCTGAAATCGAACTGTTTAATAGTACATCGAAATTGTGATCTTGTTTCGACCACAGTAAGATAAATTTTGGTTTGGTCACTTCTCTTTTCGATGCCTCTCTCCAGATATGGAAATTTTTGATTCTACTTTTTAGAACGTGACTGTTTTGGTATGTTAAAATCACGAATATGACAATGATTGTAGCAGTTAATTTGGCAAAAAATTTGATATATCGGTAGATTATTATCATTATGGGACTGAGAATCGGACTGAAATGATCTGTAAAGTTTGGTCCAAGAATTTATAACGAGAGAAGTGGATTGTTCTTTGGAATTTTCTGAGAAAATTATTATGGTTATTGTGCGAGATGAGATATTTTCTTGTTTACACACGTCAATCAAGAAAGAATAAAGCGTTGGGAACTGAAGTGTTTGAAAACATTTTCTTGATAATTTTTCATACAACTAGTAAGTCCTTTGGTACTTATTTTAGCAATTTTGTGTAGGAATTCGTTCATTCGCTCGTTTCAGTTAAATGACGTCCACTGCTGGACAAAGGCCTCCCCCAAGAATTTCCACAAAGACCGGTCCTGCGCTGCCCGCATCCAGGCACCTCCCGCAAACTTCACCAGATCGTCGGTCCACCTAGTGAGGGGCCTGCCCTCATTGTGTAGGTATATCCACAATAAAACTTCATCCAGTGTCTAAGTAGCGCAGATAGATAGATGGAAGAGCAGTCGCGAAGATTTTTTAGTTTTTTATTTAAACATTTTTTTTTCACTAAACCAATTTAAAATATCGGAGTAGTCAGGGTGAATGCACCTGTTAATGTCCACGTCCTAATCCGCGGTAATGGATTGCTAGTCAGGCTTTGTCCATATCTTTATGTCGCTTGAATGATTTATAATTATCGTTATCAGCGTGTCGAGCGTACGTGTGTGTATTGAAAACGATATAGTATTCATTGTAGGTCTGGTGAAAACGAACTATTTACCTACAATACTTACAATAACAGACTATTAATTACTAGCTTTCCGCCCGCGACTTCGCCCGCGTGAAATTTTGTCTGTCACAGAGTCCCTGTTTCAAAAACCGGGATAAAAACCATCCTATGTCCTTTCTCAGGACTCAAACTATATCTATGCCAAATTTCATCAAAATCGGTTCAGTAGTTTAGGCGTGAAAGTGACACAGACAAGAGTTACTTTCGCATTTATAATATTATTAGTATGGATTTTCATAACGACCAAAATGGTCTAAAATGCTTTCAAAAGTTATTAATTTGACACTGGAAGATTAGCGTTATTCACGATATTTGGTGCTGTAGAGGTAATTAGTTAGACCACAATTGATTCACTAATTGCAATCGCAACTATCGGTCAAAGCGCAGGGTAAATGCACCAGTTAACGTCCGCGTCCTAACCCGCGGTAATGGATTAGCCGAGATAGGTCAGGCTTTGTCCATAGCTTTGTCGCTTGAATAATTGTAATTGCCGTTATCGGCGTGTCCATGTTCGGACACTACTCGTGTTGTCTATGCCTTGTCTATGTGTATAGATTCAATACATCTTAGTTTGCTATAGCTACTAGGTTAAATGCCTGGTAGCGTGTCTATAGTCTATGATATATTTGTATGATGGGTCTAGATTATTATTCTCTGATTTATTTATGTGGTTCTTGTCTGATTTATTACTATTCCTTAAAATTATTGGAAAAATTAAGTAGATACCACAAATGGTATCTACTTAATTTTTCCATTTGCTAGGAATTAGTAAAGGATCTGATGATGATGATAATTAGGTCTAATTAATGAGACCACAGCTTAACAAATTAATTACAGTGCACGTCAAAAATATGCAAACAAAAACTTAAAAAAATTATGTCAAATGGTTAAATCTAAGCAAAATGTTTAATGAAAGATTTATATAAATTTTTAAAAATAATAAATTTTCGTCCCATTTAAGACCGAAACCTAGTTCTGATAAGTTTAGAAATCGAAAATAGTTAGGCAGTCCGATTTTTTTATAATTTTCAAATTCGAAAATGGTTGTTATTAGATATATTCATTCGTCACAAAAACAATTTATTCGCCAGACAGTGGAGTGAAATAAAACAAAACAAAACCAACTTGCAAGTTGGCAGTCTGGAACATTTCCAGATAGCTGTTATCACCCTAAACGACAATTTTGTAGACACTAGAGACACCCCTTTGCCTCGTAGCGGGCAAATGCCACTTAGTAATGACTGTGAATTTCGGTAATAGATTGGCGAATTTTCGAGTCACTTAGTTACGTTTTTTTGCATGAGACCCTTTCCAACTCATAAAGATGTTATGAAACTCCATTGCACACTCTCCTTTTTTACATAAAATTTTGCCCGCGGCTTCACCCGCGTAAAATTTCGTTTAACACAGATCGTCATAAATTATAGCCTATAGGTTATTTTGGGTTATAAACAATAATACTGTACAGTTTCATCAAAATCCGTTCAGTAGTTTTTGCGTGAAAGAGTAACAAACATCCAGACATCCTGACATCCAGACATCCAAACTTTCGCATTTATAATATTAAGAAGGAAGTAGTCTATTTGCTATCTTGATTACACGTACGCTATTTATCCTTGTAATGTTTCATCAAAATTCGTCCATTCATTTTTGTATAAGTGTATAAGTAGGTACCTAAACCCAACAATACTACAAAATTTCTGTAGACCACGGATGTACTATATACCTGAAATAACGCAAATAAAGAAATTTGATACCAGGCTAAACAACTGACAAGTGAAGTAAAGAAGGTTAAATTATATCAAGTAAGTATCTGTTCAATCAAAATCCTGCTGCTATTATTCTTTCTGCGGTAAGAACCTAACAACAATTTACACATCAGTTTACCCGACAATAAAAGAAAGGGCAATAGAACGCCAAACTTTTAAACTCGTCTTTATCAAGCTAGTGAAGATCGGGAATAAATATTTAATGTGCTCTTTAAACTATTAAACAAAGTCTAGCTGTGAAAACGCGGCGAACTTCACTAAGCTTCTACTGTGTAAAGTTTGCCGACTCAAAATCCTCTAGGAACTTTTACATTTTTAGAGTTCCGTGGGAAATAAAAAGATTCAAAAATCTTTTGTGAAAGCTACTTAAAACAATCACAAAATATTCAATTTATCAAGTAGGTACATGTTAATAGTATCAATCACCAATTAGTACCGCCAAGGTGACCTGAAAACTTGGTGATTGTAGTAGGTAAAAAGTTTACTTTTTATGGCCCATTTTAGCCGACTTCAAGAAAAGGAGTTTAACAATTCGAATGAAGGTAATAGTGGTCAGAATTGCATAGTTTTTGTTGTGTATTATTTAACGACACCTAACTTCATTTTTTATTTACTACTAGTACTTTAAGGATTGGTCAATAAAATTAAACAGCACTCAGAGTTTACCTAGTTATGTTTGAAAATTGGTTAAGAAAATAATGTGCTACGGAACTCTCACTCATTTTAAGCAGAACTCTTTGCAGTTTAACTTTTTATTTTCGAATCGCAGTGAGGATCCGTGATAGGGATTTTGCAGGGTTTTACACTGGGCTATTAGTGTTAGGAGTTCGAGGACCTTGGCTCTCGTTAGCCGAAAATGATGTAAGTTACCCTATAAAAGTTTTAAGATTGACTCGAATAAGGCAATCTTTGATTAAGACGTGTATATAGCCTTTATTGCCTTGGAAGAACTTAAGAAAAACGGTGTAATTTATTTTCTTGATTATGTTTTGTTCTTGGCTTCACTCCCGCTGATGTTAGAATGGTAGTTGAAAAGAAATGTGGATACACTTTAAACACCCTGAAGATTATAGACTTTTGTTGGAAGAAGGTTAAAAGGTTACACACGGATATCGATAGGATACCGATTTGGTATCGGTCAATTTCTTATATCCCTTTCCATAGCACGCTGTTCAACTTTGAGTTTCTTTAAGAAGCCTGTGAGAGGCCACGTTTCGGATCCATCATGATAAAGGTAGCAGAAAGGCGCTGGATGCAGGCCGCTATCAACCGTGCGATGTGAAAGTCATTGGGGGAAGCCTATGTTCAGCAGTGGACGTGGTGGCTAAAATGATGATGATGAATATCTTATACAAATTGAATGCCTACCAAACTATCGGCCGACTAAAAGTCTGCAGTCTGCGGCCGTCTTAACCTGCCGTTTTCTGCAATATACCTAAATCCGTCTCAATTTAAACTAGGTACTCACTTCTTTGTCGCTCTTGCCTATTTATTAAAGTATCGTCTATAGGTACATAATCCCGAATTCACGTTCAATGAGGGTTCTCGCGATTGAAAAATCCGCCAGATGGCAATACGTAGACGCGAGGTCCAAATGCAAATTGGTTATTTTTGACATGACATTGACAGATATGTCAAAATCCACCAATCATGCAGCATTTGGACCTCGCGTCTACGTATTGCCATTTGGCGGATTTTTCAATCGCGAAAACCCTCATTATAAACGCGGCGTACAGCCTCTGAATAAATGTGAATGTACCTTCCTTAACCTGTCCGCCGCCGTGTCCTCTGCAATGTAAATCCGTCTCAAGGCGCGGGTCGATCGCGAGCAACTGTCGGCTCGTTGTCGCATGCCAATAAGCCGATTATTCAGTCATTTGCATCGGGACAGATCCATTTACATGTCAAAACAAGCCGGGATAGGATAGGCTGTTCTTTGAAGATCTGTAACAAACGGACTGATTTCAGGAGCGACTCAAAACGGGAATGATTAAAGTAAGATTCACAAAGAATAAGAGATCTTACGTAACCGTGCTCATAGCATACATAATGGTGACGATGACGACTAAGAATTTTTTATCCTCTTATTCACAACATTTAAATACACAAAAACCACGATGTTGTTCCATGAAGCGCTCTATGTGACTAAAAATTCATGAAATAATGCA